TTTTTTTTTTAATTTATTTTTATTGATTTCAAAGAGAGGAAGGGAGAGGGAGAGAGAGAGAAACATCAATGATGAGAGAGAGTCATTGATCAGCTGCCTCCTGCACGCCCACTGCTGGGGATCGAGCCCACAACCCGGGCATGTTCCTTGACTGGGAATCAAACTGGGATCTCCTGGATCATAGGTCAATGCTCAACCACTAAGCCATGCCAGCTGGGCTGATTTTTTCTTTTTTAGAGAGAGGAAGAGAGAGGGAGAGACAGAGTAACGTGGATGTGAGAGGGTTATTTTTAATGTAAAATTTAAAAGGCAAACTGGAGAAATTTGTTTTCATGTTGACTTGCCTTTGAGCTGTGTAAGAAATGGTTTTTGAAACTTAATAGTTCCCCTTCAGTAGGTATTACTGTAGTTGTGAAAAAAATTATTTTATCCTTGAACATTTTTAGCCCTTTAAAATTCTTGGTGTTGGAAAGAAGAATCACTGCCAAATGGATTTCTTTGAATTTCTTTTTTTTTTAGTAAGGTGTATATAATTCCTAAATTAAGAATTCATTCAAGTAATTTCAGTTGTGTTTCTTTTAAGGATGATGGAGGCTCACTGGTCCTTTCACAATGAAAGTAGTTTTATTTGTTAAGGATGATTTTTCAAAGAAAAGATGTTTTTCATTGTACTTGCTTCACAGGTTTACAAAGAGTCAAATTCATCATGCAATTCATGTAGACATATTATTTTAGGAAGTAATACATACTGATGTGTATTGTGCCATGCTAGCTTTGAGGATGCTTTTGTGAACAGGCTGTATGTGGCTTATAATGAAAAACATAATTTAAAAGGTGAGAATGAATACTCGGTTATGGAGAATTGAACATTGTTGATGGATTTTTAGAAGATTATGGGTTTTATAGATATAATTTTTATTTTATAGAGAGAGAGATGAAGAGAGAGAGAGAGAAACATCGATTTTTGTTGTTCCACTTATTTATACATTCATTGGTTGTTTCTTATATGTACCCTGACCAGGGATCGAACCCACAACCTCGGTGTATCAGGACGGGATGATGCTCTAATCCACTGAGCTACCCGACCACGGCTAGTGTTTTATATTTTCTATTTAGAGAAGTTAATGTTGAGTACAAGCTTATTATTGGTTTATTTGCCAAGCTAGCATTATCTTTTGGGTTGATTTTCAAGTTGGTCTCATAAGAATCTGTTATAAAAGGGCATTTTCATTTATTAAATGACTTTTAACAGAAGTTCACAGATTTCCTTGTGCAAATGTAAAATACACAGCAGAGGTAGAATTCATTTGTACTGCTTACATGACACTTTCTTCCAGTTGGCTGAACAGATGCTGGCCCACTGGGCCACTGAGAAATGACTTTGATAGATGGTTGCTGTCTGAGAAGCCAGCATACTACAGATTAGTAGAAACCCAAAGAGATTCTCATTCACTTTGTGGAGAGTTTGGTCCAATAAGATAATTTTTCTAATTAACCTATAGAGCACCAGTGTAGTTGGGATGTTGAGGAAAATAAACGGCTTCAATATTCTTTTTGTCAAGTGTGTGTGTGTGTGTTTTAATGTTCTTAAATGCTTGTCCTTGTCTTTTACTTTTTAAAGCTAAATAGAAGTTTAATTTTCATAATGCTTTCGTGTGCTACTGAAAATTGATGGAAGTATGTAATTATAGGTTTCTAATGGAAGTAACTGTGAAACAAAAACTCATTTTAATCCTTTTTGCCCGTGTAATAGCTGGTAAAACATTTCCCCCCACAATCCTAGCGCTTTCAGTTGATTTGAATGGCTTAGGGAGGAAAGTGTTGTTTTATAGTTTTTTAAAACAAATAAACTGCATTTGTTCAAATCAATAGAAGTTGAACATACCGGCAATTTTGCGAGCACCCAAGGAGCGCAAACCAAGTAAGAAAGAAGGAGGCACACAAAAGACATCTGCTCTTCCTACAGTACTTTATAGGCAAGTAACACAATTATGGCAGATTAACCGTGTGTATGTACTTTCAAACTAGTATTTTCAGTAACAAGGTACTTTAAGTATTTGAGAATGAATGATGTCCACACCAGAATTTAAGTTAAATGCATTTAAAGTTCATTTTTATTATTACCTTCCTCAAAGATGCTTTTTAAGTTTAATGATAGAAGAGATTTTTACTCCTCTTTTAATAAGATAAATGAAATGACTTTTTGTATCTTTTACGTAACTGGGGATATATGTGCATAGCTTTATGGAAATGAGCTCCCCTCTTTGTGGAGAATTGGAAAGTGACTTTAAATAATATAGATGATTCTTTTTATAAATAGTTAAACAGTACATTAGATAAACAGGTATTTTATTTGAGTGTGTTTTAGAGTTCTGCATGTGTTTTTAGGAGTGATGGGTATTAAATATATACTCTGAATTACTGCTTTTGTACAGTGGTAGATAATGAACGTAAGTTTAGGTTTGAATCTTGTCTACATTTTTTTTCTCTTTATGCTAAGTTGTAGTAATTTTGTTTCCAGAAGTATTTCTATTCTTTACTTTTTTGGCTCAATATTTTACAGTGTCCATTATAGTAATTTTATATAGTCAAGACTTCTTTGCATAGTTTAATAGGTTACACTCCTTTTTTCCCTCCCTCCTTCCCCCCACCCCCCTTCCTTCCTTTTTCCCTTTTATTGATTTTTATTGGGTAACACTGGTTAACAAAATTATACAGATTTCAGGTCCACAATTCTACAACACATCATCTATCTGTACACTATATTTGTGTTCACCACCCCAAATGATTTTTTAAATATAACTGATTATATTGATTAAATGAGAAAAATTTAGAAGATGCTAGTAGATTTATGTTTGTGTATATATACACATACACAAACAAATGTATTTTCATGTGATCATGCATGTATGCTTATGTAATACATAAATATCCCTACAACCTCTTCCTTTTTCAGAAATAGCAATAGCAACAACATCAGTCTTTATAATTCCTATTCCTGGTTGAAGGTTCCCTCCATAGGTAATAGCCAATAACTTCCTTGAAATGTGGGACAAGCCCACTAGTGTCTTAATGTACTGTGTGAAGACTAGCACATTCTCAATCCAGCCTTTTCTGAATAAAATTGGTTCATTTGGAACCATCAGGCATATCACTATACTTCTGAGTTTTAGCACTACAGTTCATTTTTATTTTTGAATATGTTACGTGATTTTTTTTTTTTAACTCTGAGCAATTTTGAGAGCAAATACTGGTGGTTGTTTTGTGTGTGTGTGTGTGTGTGTGTGTGTGTGTGTGTGAGATATTTTTTTTCTAACATTATTTTAAAAATTCAAACATCATTGATGTTTCTGTACATGGATAGTCTTTTAGGTTCTGAACAGCTTTTCTTTCAGTCTTTACATTCCCAGTCTTTACATATACTCTAGATTTTCTTGTCATGGTGTGTGTGCTCTTAGTAGTTGCCTTTTTTACACAAGAAAAGTTAGATTCCTTAAAAACAAACAAAAATCCCAAAATAACAGTAACACCAGTAGTAAAACTCCTCATTCTCTGCAGTAAATATCTATAGTATATTTTTAAGATGCAAAGTCTGATTTTCAAAAGAGACTTGTATATATGTAGCTTTTTTACATGTTGAGGGGTCTTTGAAAGATTTATAATTAATGGTAGAAAAGAAACTGACATTTGTTTGTAAAGTCACTCATTTTGTAGATAAGTAGAAAATTGGAAAATTCTTGTTTATATTTTTAGAGGAAAATTGAGCTAATGTTAAATGGGTTTTCTGTGATAATTAAAATTAAGATAAAGATGTTGAGAATAGATAATATGCCCTGCTCCTAAAGGTTTGTCTCTAGTACTATTTATACTAGATCTGAGCTATTTTTCAGTATTCTCAAAAGTATTTAGAATTAACGATTAGTTATTGACATTACAAAAAGATATGTTAAAAAAAACATTTGATTTGATTTCAACAAAAGAAATATTAAGTTAATTGAGATGAAATTTGAAATTTATAAAGTATGCTATAAATTAACTGTTTCACTATGATAATTATTATTCTAATACTTTATTTTCTGCCTTTATTCAAAGTTGTGGAATTTGTAAAAAGAACCATGATCAGCATCTTCTTTTATTGTGTGATACCTGTAAACTCCATTACCATCTTGGGTGTCTGGACCCTCCTCTTACACGGATGCCACGAAAGACCAAAAACAGTTATTGGTAAGTAAAATGGAGAGGATTTAGATGTTAGAATTGGGTTGGCTTTGTTTCAGTACAGTACGATGAAGTGTTATATTGCTTCATAATAAAGTTTGTGGCACATTTTAAAATTGATACTGTCATAAATATTTTATCCAACTATTGAGGTATAACCAACAATTAAAAATTAAATATAATGTGTGTGTGTGTATGTGTGTGTGTGTATATATATATGGTATACAACTTAACAATTTGATATACGTATACATTGCAAAATAATTAAGTTAATTGACATGTTCATCACCTCACATTGTTACTGTCTTCTATTTTTGTGGTAAAAATGCTTCTGACAAATGTTTATTATATTATTATATGAATAATGCTGTAATAGTTTTTTTTGAGAAATGAATTTTAAGTTGAGACTAGTTTGGTATCTTAGTGGATTCTTAAATCATGAATTCTGTCTAGTGTGTTTATAATTCTCTTTTGCTTTACTGTAAGAATTTTTCAAATACTTCATTCATTTTGAAATTGAACTAATTTATCAAGAATTTGCCTCCATATTCATGCTTTTATTTGAATTTGTGCTAGTTATATTTAAGTTCAACCATTCTTTGCAAATCTAGAAACATTTGACATGTTTCTTAATTATTTTTTTTCCCTTAACTTGGGCATATTGAATCACTACAAATGTTTGATAAAAGCTTATGATACCTATGATGAATTCTATCCTTTCCTTAATTTCAGTCTAAGGGAGAGACAAGTGTTCATATTTTAATAGGCTGATTCTATATAGGAAGAATGTGGGACATGGACAACTTTGGAATGAACGTGATATTCTTTTAATACAAATTACCTTTCTAGTTTTAGAAAAGAATGAACCCATATTCTTAAATGGTGATCTATACAAAAAGTTGTGTGTGTTTCTCAAACATATTAAGCATGTTTTTGACCTCACTGTTTTATCTCATAAAGCTACCTCTGTTCATTGTGTTAGGAAGCTTACAATTTTCACCATTTTACAGAATTGCTTTTTCATAATGTTCTTTTATCAGTTTGTCATGAGACTCTCATACTGGTTTGCTCTTCTCAGATATAGTGGAGTGTATTTTTTTTTGACATTTATGTGCTTTTGAAACCAAAATTTAAGAAGCTACTGGTATATCTTATTGGAATCAATTGTGGCAAAAAATATGTAACATAAAATTTACTATTTTAATCATTTTTAAGTTGAACAGTTCAACAGTATTAAATACATTAATAATGTGCAACCATCAATCTCTATAGTATTTTTCTTCTTGTAAAACTGTAACTTTGTACTCATTAAACATTAATCCCCACTCTTCCCTACCCTGAGCCCTTGCCCACCATCATTCTACTCTGACTGTGGTTTTGACTACATTACCTCATCTAAGTGCAATCATATAGTGTTTGTCTTTCTATGACTGGCGTATTTTACTCAGCATAATGTCCTCAAGGTTCATCCATGTTGTAGCATACTTCAGAATTTCTTTCTTAAAGCTGAATTATATTCCATTGCAAGTATATACTACATTTTGCTTACCCATTCATTGGTGAATGGGTACTTGGATTGCTCCCACATTTTAGCTATTGTGAAGAATGCTGCCATGTAACATGGGTGTACAGATGTCTCCTTGAGACTTAGCTTTCAGTTCTTTTGGGTATATATCCAGAATTGGAATTGTTGGATTATATGGTAATAGCATTTTTAATTTTTTGAGGAACAACCATACTGTTTTTTGAGGAACAACCATACTCTTTTCCAAAGCATCTATCATTTTACGCATCTACCAACAGTATACAAGATTTTCTCGTTTCTCCACGCTCTCACCAGCACTTATTTTCTGGTTTTCATTTTGTTTTGGGGTTTTTTGGATAGTAGTCATCCTAATGAATGTAAGGTGGTATCTCATTATAGTTTTAATTTTCGTTTCCCTAATGATTAGTAGCAATGAGCATCTTTTCATGTGCTTATTAACTATTTGTGTATCTTCTTTGGAGAAGTAATTATTCAAATCCTTCTTCAACATGTGGACTTACAATCCAAAGTTACATAATAGTAGCTTTTAGGGCAAAATTTTTTTTCAATGTATTAGTCTCTTGTGTCATGTAAAAAACAAAACATGGAGTTAAAAACCATTGTTACAATAATACTAGCTTTCAAACGGATGATGTATGAAACTTTATTGAGGTCTATATTTATCCATATGGCTCTGAGTTACTGTCTAGTGTCTTTTTTTGATTGCACCCTGCAGGATTTTCTTGAGCATTTCTTACAGGACAGAACTAGTGGTAACAAATTTCTCCAGTTTTTGTTTGTCTGGGAATATCTTAATTTCTCTCACTTTTAAAGGGCTATTTTGCTGCATACAGGATTCTTGGTTGACTGTTTTTTTGTGTTTTTCTTTTTTTTTCTTTTAACACTTTGAATATATTGACCTAGTGCCTTCTGGCCTCCGAAGTTTCTGATGAGAAATCTGCTGATAATCTTATTTATTTATTTATTTTTAAATATATCTTTATTGATTTCAGAGAGAGGAAAGAGAGGGAGAGAGAGAGATGGAAACATCAATGATGAGAGGAGGCATTGATCGAGCCCGCAACCCGGGCATGTGCCCTGACCGGGAGCCGAACCCTGATTGCCTGGATCCCAGGTCGACGCCCAACCACTGAGCCACGCCCAGCCGGGCCTAATAATCTTATTGAGGATCATATGTGACAATTCTGAGCTTCTCTCTTTCTGCTTTCAAGAGTCTATCTGTATCTTTTCCTTTGCAGTTTGATTATAAGGTGTCTTGGTGTGGGACTCTGAGTTTATTGAACAATGTGTTCATTGAGCTTCTTGGATGTTTATACTCATGCCTTCCATCAGATTATTTTTTTTTAGTCATTATTTCTTCAAACATTGTCTCTGCCCTTCTTTCTTTTCTTTTCCTTCTGGGACTTCCACAGTGCAAATGTTGGTCTGCTTGTTAATGTCCCACATGTCCCTTAGGCTATGCTCACTTTTCTTCAGTCTTTTTTCTTCCATATACTTGATAATTCCCACAGTCCTATCTTCAAGTTCATTGATTCTTATGCCTGCTTAAATCTGCTTTTTTTTTTCCCCCATGGAAAAATGAATTTTTCATTTCAATTTTTGTGCTTTTCAGGTCCAGGGTTCTTTTGATTTATTTTTTGGTTTTCTATCTGTTTATTTATATTTCCAGTTTGTTCATACATTGTTTTCCAGGGTTTCTCCACAACCTCCTTCAGTTTAGTGAGCATCTTTGTAACTGTTGTTTTAAAGTCTTTGTCTTATAGATCTGCCATTAGGTCTTCTGACACAGTTTCTGTTTACTTAATTTTGCTCCCTTAAATGGACTATACTTTTGCCTTTCTTTGTATGCTTTTTATTTTGTTTCATTTTTTTTTTGGTCAAAAACTGGATATTTAAACTTAATGATGTGTTAAGTCTGGAAATGAAATTCTTCTCTATCCCCAGGGTTTGCTATGTTTTGTATTGTTTTTTACTTGTTTGTTTTATTATAGTGGGCTGTCTCTTTGCTGAGGATCAGCCTGAGGTGTAAACTTATGGCCTTCTCATGTCTTTTTTGAACAAGTGTGGTCACTTTCTTATTTTTCTCATCTATGCACTTATTTTTGAATGTCCTAGTCTTTAATGTATGTCTCCCAAAGGGGAAAGAAGAGAAAAATGAAGGTGGAAGGATAAAGGATCCTGGTCTTTTAAGTCCTGGAAGTTACTTCAGACTGAGGAGGAGTGTCTTGCAGTAATAGAGGGAGGTCACCCACCACTTTGTCCACACTTCTATGACCAAAAGCAGCAACTAGCACTCGGAGCATGGATCCCAATATTTGAAGTCAGGGTTTGTTTTGCCCACCCTGGCTCCTAACTACTGTGTACAAACTAGGGCAGGAATATGTGCACAACTGCCTGTTGTGTGGCTTGAGATGGGCATTGGGTAGCTGCAACAGTGCTAAGAGCTGAATTGACTGAAATTAACAGCTGTTTGTCTGTGTTGCAAACCTTCAATAGACTGCAGAGTTACAAAATAGTTACATCAGACAGATTCTGCTGGTGCAGTTGTATTCTAGGTAGAGAAACAGATTCCTGTGGTTGCCTACTCTGCCATCTTCCTTCCAACCCCATGTTTTTAAAAATGCTTCATTAAATTCTTTTAATGAGTAAGTCTATATTTCCTCTTTTGTAAATAGTATGGGCCACTAACTAAAATGACCCATTTATTTCTTCAATACTTTTTAAAAACTGTTCCTATAGAGTCTTAGTTGCTATATTCATCATGGCTTGTCATTAAGATGAAAAGATATGATAGCTATGACAGGAGTAGTGTAGGGTTAATAACTGACTTTGATTTTCAGGTATCACAGTACATGTCACTTAAGGAAAAGTCATGATTTCCAAAGGGAAACTACCTTTTTAATCAGTGCTAAATCTTTTATGTTAGTTCACATAAACATGCAGCATTATTACATATGTTCTTATTACACTTACAGAAGTGGGCTACATGGAATTGCCTTATATATTTACTGTTTTCATTCTTATAGGAATATATATGCCTTTATGTATAGTGATTGTATACCCTGTGGTCACATATACACATTTATATTTTTATATATTCTTCACATATACCTGAATTTTATATTTATAGAAACCAATGCTAACACTAGGATGTAAAAATAAATGTATGGACTTATATTTTTTCTTTATGTAGGCAGTGTTCAGAATGTGACCAGGCTGGGAGCAGTGATATGGAAGCAGAGATGGCCATGGAAACCTTACCAGACGGGACCAAACGATCAAGGAGGCAGATTAAGGAACCAGTGAAATTTGTTCCACAGGACATGCCTCCAGAACCCAAGAAGATTCCAATAAGAAACACGGTAATTTATTACCTATTTATCATAATCATCACAAAATTCTGAGGCTAGAACTTAAGAGGTGAGAAAAACAAAGGGTGAATATACATTCAGGAACCAAAGAAAGAAACATGTATATTGTTATTGGTTATTTTTAAGACTGTATTGTTTTATTTTTTGTTGTTTTTTTTTTAAATCCTCACCTGAGGATATATTTTTTCCATTGGTATTTTAGAGGGAATGGAGGGGAGGGAAGGGAGGAGAGAGAGAGAGAGAGAGAGAGAGAGGGAGAAACATAGATGTGACAGACACATCGATTGGTTTCCTCCCATACCCACCCGGACCAGGGCTGGGGATCTAGCCTGCAAATGAGGTGCGTTCTCTAGACTGGAACTGAACCTGGGACCCTTCGGTCTGAGGGCTGACACTCTCACCACTGAGCCAAACTGATCAGCGCAAATCTAACCATTTTTTATTTTGTATTTCTTCCTACAACTTAACCATTGAGTATTTTATACTTCATTACATTTTTCAAAGGTCGGTGCATCAGAAGAGGATGTGGGGGATTAGTTTACCTATATATAAGATGATTTAATAATAGCTAACATTTGATGATGCATCATATGCCAGACACTGTACTGTAATTCTCCACCCTATTAAAATAAGTTAGTTTTTAACTATTAAACCTCTGTTTTACTCAAAATGAAACCGAGGAACAGAAAGCTTGTGTACTTTACCTGTGATCTTATAGATAGTAAGTAGATAGGAATAGAACCCAAATAGCCTGATTAAGAACTCATGTCTTTACTGAGGTCTGTAGGGGAGCATTTAGTTGAAGTACAGATAGAGTTGTTGTAAAACATTTGGTTATTAGGTAGCATGCTTGGGAGTGTGGTGTTCTAATACGATAGCAGAGTGTTCATGTGTCTTTGCACAGCATAGTGTAATGGGAATGCAGGCACATCCCCACTTACTGTCTCATATAACTGAGTTCATTCACATTAAATGTAGATTCAACGCTCTTTTTCTTTGTACTCCTCATTGAGTATGAACAGTTTTCTTTTTCCAGTTGTTTGAGAGCATTGGCATCACTCCTGTCAATTGTGCAATAGTGTTGAAGTTAATAAAATGCTTGAAGGTATTCTAACTTGAAACTGAAATTTTAAATAAATCAAATGGAAAGAAAATAAAAAATTTAGAAACAGCAAATCAGTAAGTAGACTAACAGCATTCATGTAGGTGAGCCACCAGTGGATCTTAATTTTCCTGTTCTGTGTCCATTTGCTTTTGTTTCTTCTAAATTGTGAGTACCGTGAAACCTGTAGGAAAAAAAAAAGTGTACGCCTTTGTACTAAGAGTGAAATTGGGAAAGTATGTGGTTTTTCTTTCCTATTTTTTTCTTTCCTAAGTAGTCACTCCAAACATACCTAAAACATTTAGCTCATCGCCCGGCTGGGTGTGGCTCAGCGGTTGAGCATCGACCTGGGATTCAGGCGATCGGGGTTCGATTGCTGGTCGGGGCACATGCCTGGGTTGCGGGCTCGATCAGTGACTCTCTCATCATTGATGTTTATATCTCTCTCTCCCTCTCCTTTCCTCTCTCTGAAATCAATAAAGATATATTTAAAAAAAACACATTTAGCTCATTGAATCTCAGCTTTTTTGATAAGGCAACAAATATCTTTTTGATTTGGTCACATGGTTTGACCATTGTTAAGAGAGATGGGCCCACAGACTCAATCTTTGTGCTCCAGTGCCTCCTTTGTGTCAAACAAGGCTGCTATTAGATGAATGGCATCCACTTTTTCCTGCTGACAGGCAGTTTCCATTTATCATGGCCAGAGAGTGCAGTGGGGAATAGACTACTTCGGCAAGCCTTACTATATTTTTATTATTTGGATACTGAGGGAAGTCAATTTTCATTTCATTCTACTTTGGTTTCCTTAATAAGGATTTATAGAAACCTGAACGAATACAGCATATTTTGAGACATCCAATTCTGTAAGATATAGATGCTCTTCAAAGGGAGTAGTCCCAGAATTACATTTTTCTCTTAGATTTTTCTACCCGAAGGAAATCAAAAGATTAACCAGAAAATTTGCTGGAAAAAATTATAGCACTAAAGACTTAGTGTTTAAAGATAATGGGTTACAAGAGCTATTTCTAAGTGTAAAAATGAAAATACTATACTTTCAAACAGTACCATTCTTTTACAAACATGGAGATTCTCTTTGATTCACATTTTAATGTTATATTTAATTGTTGGCTTACCATCAATTATTTGGCAATTTATTATTCCAAATGTTACAGTTATTTTTAAAATTAAATTTTAACTATAAAAGTAATACGTAAATACTTTTTAGTTGTAAGAAATGAAAAAATATAATTAAAATCTCCTTTGAGTTTCTTGCTAGAATTCCCCTCCCCCAACCCAAATTCACATTCCTCAAATCTACCAAGGGTACATTCTTTTGGTGTGTATTTGTCAAAAAAAGAAAGAAAGAAATTATCAATGAAAAAGTAGTGGAAAAGTAGTGTGGGGATAGTTCGAGAAACAGAAATATTCAAGTATTAATTAAATAGAATTATTCAAGTAAAAGAGGAATGATCTGGTTTTAGAAAATTCTTCACATATTGTTTCAGAGATATGACTTTTGTAACATCTTAGATAGGGTTGCAAATATCTCATCTCTAGTATTTCGGCGTCTCAGTACCCATTACTCTCGATTTTTATTACTGGATGTAAGTAGGAAGACTAAGCCTAAAGAAGAATAAGAATGAAAAGCATATTTTTAGTCGCCTTTGTTAGTATATATTTTATATTAACATACTTGTCATATTAACCCTATTAAGTAGTTATTAATGTCATTGCCTTGTAGATGAGAAACTGAGGTAGAGTTTAAGTAACTAACTGCCTAAAGACATGCAGCTTCTAAGCCAGAAATCAAACTTAGCTATCTCCCGAGTCCATATTTTTTACCACTTTATTGTGCTGCTTTTCTAGACAAAATTACTAGCTCTTCTCCTTGGGCCAGAATCAGAGGCTCCTCAGGGTTCCAGCAGCTTACTGACTAAGGGTTTGGCCAGGAATATGAAAGTCACTCTGTGGAGAATTAGGAGCTTATACCACTGGGGTATGGATATTAAGAAAGCTGTCACCGTAGGCTGGAGGAGCTCTGCTGAACGTCAGAGAAACTCAATGAAATATTTATCCTGAAGCACTGAACAGGTGGTGGGAGCTAACATTAGGTCAGAGAACTTGGCAGTGAAGATCTCAGCCTAAAGAGCACTGGTGAGTGGGTGGAAAAATGAGTTTGTAGGGAAGTCTGCAGTCTGCCAGGACTGTGATGTGGAAGTTAATGGAAAGGTTTACAAGGCTGCAGCATCTGAAAGAGCCAAGCATCAGAGTCCTCTGACCTGCTGAGAAAAATGACCTTCCTATCTGTTTCAAATCCGAGGTTATGAACATTGAATTATTCAGGGAAGGGGTCTCGGGAAATGTGATTTCCAGCCTTAGAGTGAGTAAGGTGGCTGGGTCATGATAGACATGTGTGCCAGACTGACCGCAGGCAATCTTGCGTAGTAACCAACTGCTGTTTTGAAAAGTGGCTAATGTAGTGCTTACTTGCCACATGGCTAGGTGCCCTATAGACAGAGACATTTCCAGACTCCTTCCCTCCGCCCCTTCTCTTACCTCTTTGAGGTCTGTGATATTGTCTTTTTCACCCATATTCTCCCAGCTCAGCATTGTGCAAGGCACGCAGTAAATTCTGATAGAGTCACTGACAGCATGCATGCACACAGTGGACTGAAGAGTTGTAACATACCAAGAGGATAATCTGAGTGTAGGCCAAAGAAAGCGAACCTGGGCTTTTTACAGGCCCGGCGGTATTGAAAATAGAGAGAGGCTTAACTCCCTCCCTAGCTTGCTGAATACCCAGCTCAGCCTTCACACTGTTTGCCATTCACTTATGAGTGAATCACAGGCTTTCTCTCCCTGTTTTTCTTTTTTTTAAAAAGTTAATTAAAAGGGAGTAACATGGGTGAAGTAGAGAATCTTAAAAAACAAAGGTTCTTGTGATAGGCGATATGTCAGCAGCGTCTGTTAACCCAGTGACTTTCTCTCCTCTTTGTTTATAGAAGCTACACAAATGAGTTTAGGGCTTTTATCATTAGAGACTCTGGCAAAGAGAATCCCTCTTATTTTGATTGCATTAAGTAACTTTTCCTTCAGAATTCTTATAATTTATACCATACATTGCCAATGTTTATTTCAAAAGTTGGCTTTGATATAATTTATTTTTTAGTGGTTGAGCTGATGTTTTGAATCTACATTTGGTTTATCAGTAATATCACTTTATAAAATAGTATCTTTCATAGTCTAATTATACATTCTGGGGAAAACTAGTAATTTTCTCTAATAGCTTTAACTTCTGCATTGATTGCCAATAATAATGATTGCAGATACTATTTTAATACATTTTTCATTTATTGTAGGAATGAAAATGTTTAGTCTTTGGGACTGGAATCTCATTTATCATAATATAATTTAACTTCTTTTGTATTGGGAGAATTGCTTTTCTTCTCCTGAATGAGAGCATTTTTATAGGATAGTGAACTGATTTATATACCTGGCCCACCTTCAAATGTAAAATCACCATACTTGAGTGATTTTCAACCGATGTGTTGAAGAATTTTAAAACATGCAATACCTGATTATTTAGTCAGGGGCACTGTCCTCTTTCCCCTTAGATTTTCAAATAAAAAAATGACAACAGCCAACACAACAGTAGCCACGCGGTATGAATGAATCAAAATTACACCTATTTCTTTTATCAGATCAGCAAAAAATATATTTTTTGGTGTGCCACAGAATTTTAGTAATTGGTTTATGTGTGCCATGAGATGGAAAAGGTTGCAAATCACTGCCATACTTTATATATTACTTGGATTAAGAAAAACATTTTCTTGAACTTATTAAAATGTTATGTAGTTCTAATCTTTCAGATATGAGTTTTATTACA